GGCCCCGCGCCCGTCCATTCCCCGCCCTCCCGTTCTTGTTCCCTCTTTTCCTGCTCCAGTAGCTCCTCCAGAAGCAACGGTTGCTCCTGGTTTACGTTCTGACGGTTAAATTTTGCTCTGGTGATTTCGCTCCTGGAGTGACGTCACCCGCTACCGTTGACTTTGTCGCCGGTTGCGTTCGATTAACTCGCGTGTGATGTGATGCACGCGATTGTTAAGGGTTGGAGCATTCACTTTAGGAATTTTTATTTTAGACAATGTACCCGTCTCATCTTGCAATAAAGTTATAACATCTGTTTTGTAATTTATTTTTATACTGTTATGAAAAAAACTGTACATTATGTAAAACCTTAAATAGGAGTACATTATGGTAAAAGTTTATCAAAGAAGGATACAATAATAAAAGAATTAAGTGTTGTACTACTAACATATTTGGAACAACAGAAATTAAACACAAACGTAGAGGGTGCAAAGTAAGCTAAATAGGTAAGAACTAAATAGTGCCAGATACTAGTACTTGAACATTGTTAATCTAAGTACATGGAATGTGTAGTGAAATTTTATATTGTAATAAATATCGACGATTTTGTTTAAACTTTTTTAATTACATATGCATTTTATATTAATACTTACACTATTAAATTTAACAATACATGATATATTTAATCTTTGTTTCATTTCGCTTACAAACCGAGTGGTAAACGATACAATAATTACTTAAATATGATGAAATCATAAAATTTTACTTAAAACATGATGATTGCGTACACAAACATATTGTATATCTCCCCCACCACGTGACACAACAGATGAGACAGGCAATTGACATTTGAAGCAGAACAATGAATATTAAGGTAACTTCGATTGCCTATGTTAGTATGTTTAGTGCTGGTACTATTTATTTTAAGGTTATTTTTGTATTAGAAATTGCTGAAAAGTTTTAAAAGGTTAGTCAGTACGCATGCGTGCACAATACAAGCAGAGATAAAGCACAACAGGTGATCAGCTGTGACAAGGCTAACAGATTTTCTCATAGATTTGCCTTGTGCTTTGAGGAGCTAAGGTGTAGAAGGTAGGATATTTGAGGAAGAAATAAAATAATTAATAACATCTATGACTGGATACTATAAGGGAACTATCAGTAAGTATAAGTAAAAGAAAATTGGTAAGATAAGTCGCAAGTAAAACCCGTGTAAACATTGGGACTAAGAAATATTCCGAGTCGAGCAGAGTAAGACGAATGCAAAAATTTTAAGAATTCAGTCTGAAACGTATAAACTAAATGAGCTTAAAATCAAATGACCATTCAAGATGAATTTAAGACACAAAAAATGATATTTCATACAAGAAATATAGTATAATATACTTAATAAATTTAAAGTGTTGTTATTTGGGTGAAACGCGGTAGTTGTTGGAGGTGGTGGT